TACAGACGGCACCACTGCCTACTTGTACAGACGGCAACCACTGCCTACTTGTACAGACGGCAACCACTGCCTACTGTACAGACGGCAACCACTGCCTACTTGTACAGACGGCAACCACTGCCTACTTGTACAGACGGCAACCACTGCCTACTTGTACAGACGGCAACCACTGCCTACTTGTACAGACGGCAACCACTGCCTACTTGTACAGACGGCAACCACTGCCTACTTGTACAGACGGCAACCACTGCCTACTTGTACAGACGGCAACCACTGCCTACTTGTACAGACAGACCACTGCCTACTTGTACAGACGGCAACCACTGCCTACTTGTACAGACGGCAACCACTGCCTACCTGTACAGACGGCAACCACTGCCTACTTGTACAGACGGCAACCACTGCCTACTTGTACAGACGGCAACCACTGCCTACTTGTACAGACGGCAACCACTGCCTACTTGTACAGACGGCAACCACTGCCTACTTGTACAGACGGCAACCACTGCCTACTTGTACAGACGGCAACCACTGCCTACTTGTACAGACGGCAACCACTGCCTACTTGTACAGACGGCAACCACTGCCTACTTGTACAGACGGCAACCACTGCCTACTTGTACAGACGGCAACCACTGCCTACTTGTACAGACGGCAAACCACTGCCTACTTGTACAGACGGCAACCACTGCCTACTTGTACAGACGGCAACCACTGCCTACTTGTACAGACGGCAACCACTGCCTACTTGTACAGACGGCAACTGCAGACATATCTACTGCATATGTCTGACTGCTTTTACGGAATTCTACTTTGTTGATTATTCAAATAATCTTTCGCAATACTTATATATAGATAATTATCACTGATCATTACAGTGAAAAAGACAATAATTAATTGATGAAATTATTATTTTTTAGTATTCTTTGAGTTTATACATTATTGCATTGTTTAATAATATACATAAATAATTATCACTGGTCATTGCAGTTAAAAAAAATTAGTTAATTAATGGAATTATTATTTTTTACTATTCTTTGAGTTTATACATTTACTGCTTTTTTTTAAAAATATTATAACATTGTCCTATTGAGTGTTGTTAAGGTTGTCAGTTATTTTGAACTAGCTTAGTAACTGGCTGAGTGATTCACATGTCATTTGTATTCATGAAGGAAACATTGACTACACATAGCAGTGGAATAGAGTCAGTCAGTGGATAAGAATTAACCCTTGCATAGATGGTGAGAATATAGTATACATAATGGCAGATTCAAATTGTTGGACACGTTGGTGTTGCTGTAGGCATAAAGATGTCTCTGAGCTAGAAGAATCCACAGAGTTTTGGGATGATATTAGGTAATACAAACATTTACTGTTCGAGGTCAAAAAGGTTGCTTTCATGTGTCTGTGTTATCTTCACATCAAACTCGTGTTTCATAAATTATATGACAATTAGTGGTTATTATACATGTAACATCACTATAATTGTGTATATTATGAGTTTTCGTAATTACCAATATATTGATCTATTGAATTTGTGCTTAATAATTAGTAGTAATTTTAGCAATTAAAATTACATCATAGAACAAGTTAAATTTGTTCAATTTAACCTGTGTTGATTAATAATGGGAAGCTTTCAGAATATTATAGCAATATATTATGTTATTCTGGTTTTGTAAAGCCGTCTTTGAGCAGTGTTAGAAAGCAAGTACATTTACTAAAGAGAATACTCCTGCCTAATGAGGTTACGCAACTTGGGAGAAAACACTGGATTGATATGTGTAGACAACTCTAATGGGGAACTCTAAGGGAGTAAATGGTTGAATAATGTATAGGATGATAACATGTAACTGTCTGTCACATGGTGATGACAAATCCCTTACACAATTTTATGATAATGTACAGTTACGTCGAATATATGTGAATATATTCCCTGACAAATACACCTGGCCACAGTGCCAAGTGATACCAAAAACAAATTCCATCCCATCACATTCCCTGACAAATGCATCTGGCCACAGTGCCAAGTGGTATCAAAAACAAATTTCAGCCAATCACATTCCCTGACAAATACACCTGACCACAATGCCAAGTGGTATCAAAAACAAATTTCAGCCAATCACATTCCCTGACAAATACACCTGGCCACAATGCCAAATGGTACCAAAAACAAATTCCATCCCATGACATTCCCTGACAAATACACCAGATCACAATGCCAAATGGTACCAAAAACAAATTTCAGCCAATCACATTCCCTGACAAATACACCTGGCCACAATGCCAAATGGTACCAAAAACAAATTTCATCCCATCACATTCCCTGACAAATACATCTGGCCACAGTGCCAAATGGTACCAAAAACAAATTTCATTCCATCATATTCCCTGATAAATACACCTGGCCACAATGCCAAATGGTATCAAAAACAAATTTCATCCCATCATATTCCCTGACAAATACATCTGGCCACAGTGCCAAATG